TCCCCATTTTTGTGCACTGTAAGCTTGTGCTTTGGACATCTAGTTGGGACTAGAGCATGATCCATGTCAGGACATTCTCATCTTGAAAAGTTTAGCATCGTAACTGTTTATTGATCACACGTTTATGGAGTTGGACTTCTGGATATTGTGTTAAATTTCCAATCTGCAATCACCTTCCTTTAAGGCTGTATCAAGAAATGCCCGTTTTGAGCAAATATGGAGAAGCAGGAAGGAAAAGAAAGAAGCTCCAGAGGATGAAGCTATATCGGAGATATGTCGGCTCTATGATGTTGTCCGGGTTGATGCCGGTGAGCAGGGTCCGGAGGTGCAAAAGCAGAAGTACTGCTTTCTCATGAGTTTTTTTTTCCTTAATTATAATATTATTCTTTGAGGTTTAAAAATAAATTCTGAAATTCTTAAAATATTTAATCCAGAGACACAGATTTGGACGACCACAGGATGATGGCTCAATATCTGCCCCTCCTGAGAGATTTTTTGCCATCTGCTGCTGTGGAGATTGAATCCGATATTCATGATTTAATTTCCAAACAAGGTCTGACTCAATGGTGTGTTTCTTTATCATAATGAAAATTGAGGTGATTTCACACAAGTGGTTCAGTTCTGGGTGTGTTGTACCATATTTAGTTTGAAGATAATTGGTTCTTGTATAGATCATTATTACTTTACTGTCACAATCCCATCTCATTCATAGGCGGTTTATTCTTGTAATTGATCGTCTATTACAAGTTTTCTAGATTGCTTTTGATGTTTGGCATTTGCAGGCTCATCCGATGGTTATGTATACGATTTCTATGCCGTTAATGAGGATGCGGATATGATGGAGGCTGATTCCGTACACCCATTTCCTTTGTGAGGCTTCGTGTCATTTGAATTCTCGATTGAGGTATTTATTGTACACATTTTATTATATTTTTGTTTACTTATCATCAATTGGTGGATCAGGGTTCGAGTTGACGATGACGATGAGTTCTATGATGGTCCAGATGATTCGGAATATGAAACTGATGATTCTAACGGTAATCTCCCTCTCTCTCATGATATTTTTTTAATAGACTGAAATATTATTCAAGTATGAGCAGAGTGGGTTTGGCCCACAGTTAGGCCCATACTTGAGAAGCCCATATTTAGCACCTCCTTAGGGAATGTAATGGCTTGGAATTTCAGCGGAAAACAATCCCCTCAACGATTATCCTGATGAGGAGACATCTGAGGAGGATGAGGACGAAGTCACTAGCAGATCATCTGACGAGAAATCAGAAAACGAGAGTCGAACTTCTGGGACCGATTCCCAAGATTCTGAAAATGAAACCCAAGTGTCGTTTGAGAATGATGAATCGTATGACTGGACGAACGATGTTGATGAATACTCTGAAGACGAGTCTTACTCTGATGGGGACAATGAGCCGTATTATTGAGAGGATAGGGTGAATCGGGACATAGCTCGATTTTGGATTTAGCAATTGCTTTGTGTTGTCGATTCCATGCTCGGTTCTCGTAACTCCAAATTGCTGCTGTGGTGAAAACTTCTATCTTTTTTACTGATTTTACAAGTTCAGGTGTGAATTTTGATTGAAATCTTGTGAATTCTTTGATGGTTTCATTTCATTATGAGATTAGGACTTGTGAAGTTGAGACACTTTTAATATTTGACTTCAAAATTGAATTTTAGTCTAAATTTGATTTAACAACAACATAGCCTTTAGTCCTAAGTCCGAAGCTAAATTTGATTTAACATTTCAATTTTAATTTCATTTTTTAAAAAGCTAACTGGCTGCAAAGTGTGTGTGGATGTGGACAGGGGATGGGCTTTCTTTGGGATTTGTATTTAATTATCATCACAAACTTCAATTATTGAAGTTAGGTAAGTGAATGGTTGTGCGTCTGATCCCAGGTTTCGTGCTCATTCAATCACTTTTTGCCACGTAAGTGGATCAGCTCAGTTAATATAGACAAAGGAACATAACACGTCAATCTGAATCATGACCAAACTCCTTTGTCTCTTTAACTACTCCAAAACATGGCTAAATTCGTAATCAAAATAGTAGATTAATTTGTCGTTTATATTGAATGGAAGATTCTGGAGTCAAATCACACTCGAGTACAATACTTTGATAAGTCTTGGGATAGCAATATTTCAGTATAATAAGTTATAGGTCGAGCAAATATTCAAAACATCGTTATAATCCATTTGAGGTCCATATTCGAAGCACACCGTAGTTCTTTTGGTATTCCAATTCAATTTTCTATTTCGTTGTACCACTAAAGTGTATTAGATGTGATTGCTTCACATCACCATAAGCTTTCTTTTATTCGAATACGTGAGATGCATGGAGAGAACAATTTTTAAATTATTTTATTATTTATGTGAATAAAAATNCAAACCATCATTTCTACAAATTAATATTTTCAAGTCATTTCGTTTAGCGACATGTGAAACAACTGATTATAACTGACCGTGACTGAAAACCGACTTCTTCAAGAACATAACAACATGTGATAAAGATTGGCTTGTGAAGGGAAAAACATATCAATCTGAATAATATTTACTAATAAATATCCGTCAATTCCAAAAATATATATAATTGTTAGTTATATCTGACGGTTCCATCGACTTTTTATAAATTATATACTTCTGTTACTTAATTAATCAATATATAAAATATGTGTAATTGTATATGTATCCGGTGATTCCAAAATAAAAAATACAAAAAATTATGGTGATTCTAAAAATATATCCGGCTTTTCCTAAATTATATATGATTGTCATTTAATTAATCATATAACTAATATCTGACTTTTTTTCTACTTTATATTATGTTGTTAATTAATCATTCACTTAACTAATATTTAAAAAAATAGTTCTTTAATCAAGTCCTACAAATATCCGGTTTTTCCTATATTATATCCAATTGTTACTTAATTAATTTAACTAATATATGGATTTTTTTAATTTATATTATGTTTTTAATTAATCATTCACTTAACTAATATTCAACATAATTATTTAATCAAGTCCTAAAAAAATATGCGTTTTTTTTTCTAAACTAAATCCAATTGTTACTTAACTAACCATTTAACTAAAATTAAAAATAACATGTTTTATTACAATGGGCATTTAATACTTCATTAATGCAATCACATACCTCAAGTCCAGTAAAATCGCAATTAAAATAACTATTTATAATAACACATTATACCAAATGCAATTCAAATTATATCATGTAATAAAGATTAATAAAATCGATTGGATTTATACCATAAAATCATATTTTATTTTCTACCAAAAATAGAAATAGTCATCGCATATCTAAAATAAAGTCGTCCACTTTATTGCATAAAATCGCCCACCTTATAAAATTGAATTTACTAATTTTGCAACTTTATGCCATAAATTAATTAAATAAATTATAGATCTAGTAAATATGATTTTTTTTATGGGAAATAATTACTATTTTAAAAATAATAAAAGCTTTATATATTAAAGTAGACAAAAAATCCTTATTTTTCTTTGAACTCCCCCAATCAAAAAAAAAATCCTATATATATTCTACTTTAAAATAAAATACAAATAAAAGTACGACATATTATAAGATATATATCTTCTTTTCGTTCAATTGTCATATTAATTTACCAACTTGCTCTATGAGTTATGTATTGGTGAAATCTAAACTATTTATTTTGGTAATATTATAATGAAAAGAGTAATGTTTGACAATTTGACATATGTATTTTCGATAGTTTAATTTATACATCGATTAGATAGTATAGCATGATTCCTTTTTATATTATAAAGTATGGTGTGTCGATATATTTAATCATTAGACTGTTCTACATTACAATTATGGCATGATTGGTATGATGGAATGGAATTTCGTAGAAATAGAATGAATTGAAGAATGGAATGATTATGGGAATGGAATGAAACATGTTTTGTCATTCATGCGTTTGGTATGCAGAAGGAATAAGACTAGAATGGAATGACATTATCATTTTTTGTTATAAAAATAAATACAAGTTTTTTTTAAAAAATAATATACTTTTAATAAATTATATATAAATGCTTTTTAATAATATATAAAAATAAAATAATATATTTTGAATAATATATAAAAATAGAATAATATATTGTTTAATAATATAAAAATAATATATTTTTAATAATATATAAAAATAAATAATATATTTTTAAATTTTATATAAAAAATAAAATATTCTTAAAAGTAATATATTTTTGATATATAAAAAATAATATATTTTTAATAATATTTAAAAATAAAAAGTAATATATATTTAATAATATATATTTTATTTTTTAATTAAACAGTAAATAAAAGTAAGTTTTTAATTTTTTATGTGAATTTTATTTTTTAAAGTAATATATTTTTAATAATATATATTTTTAATATTTTTCAATAATATATTTTTAAAAGTAATATATTTTTAATATATAAAAAATAATATATTTTTAATAATATATATAAATAAAATAATATATTTTTAAATTATATATAAATGTTTTTTTAGTTTTATTTTTATATAAGTATTTAATATATCTAATTAAAATATAAATAAAAGTAAGTTTTCAATTTTTTTATTTGAATTTTTTTTAAAAAATAATTTTATTTAATATATTTTAATCATGATTTATAATATATATTATATATTTATTTTTTATTATTGTTAATTTTATTTTTTGAAAAATTGATTCCTACACAGATGGGAATGAGAAAACCCTCCATTTACTATGGAATGGCTAATCCCATGGAGATGAGTTTTGCCATTCCCATTGGAATGGTCATTCCTTCTCAAAAAATATACCAATCATAGGATAAGGAATGATAATTCCATTCCTATGTCATTCCATCATACCAATCATGCCATTAGTGTTACACATTAGCACTCTCAAAAATCAAGATCGAAAGCCTTTTATTATTTTTTTTATCATAAATAATTTGGTGTTTACCAAATGGAAGAGTTTTGAAGGTACATATCATATTTTTCAAGACTTACAAAGTTTCCTCAAATTGAAATGATATTGAGACAATTAACGTACCCTTAAAAGTAGTTAGGAAATTAGAAAAATCTGATTCACTCACTTACATGTTACTCGAAACAATATAAGCTGATAAGATTAATCAGATGTCGGAATTTTTCACTTATTATCAGCCATATCATGTGCAGAACATATGATATTACCAACCAAATGAGAGAAACAGGCACAATTTTGTCTTAAACTATTACAAGATGATTTTTCATTATTAAAAATATGATGCAGGATAGTTATTATTATTACTATTATTATTATTTTATTTTAGTATCTAAATATTTAGTAGCTTTTTTGGTGATCAAGTTAGGTTTTAGGATTAGGGGCCTTATATAAAGGACTCCATCTAGTTTATTTTAGGTGGTTATTTTTGAATATGAAATAAGATTAGAGATTGTGAGTCTTGCGTGTTTTACGAGAGAGTATCTCGTTTTTTCGTTTATCTTTCTCACTCGTATGCTTTCCCTACATCAGTTGGTATCAGCAGTCAGTACGATTCGCGATGTCGCCGGGACGACAAGATGCCGCAAACAAACGACGTGATGCAACCTTCAACGATCGGTTTCAACAGATTGACTACCGATTTGAACAGTTGGACGTGCGTTTCACGAATTGGTTTGCAGATCTTTCGACGGGGATCGAGGATTTGCGTTTGACGCTTAATAACATGGTCTGGGATTTGAAGATGAACCGTGTCGCCGACGACCGGGGTGCGCGGGGGAGTTCACGGAGAAAGTGGAGGTCGTGTTCCAGGCGGGGCACCCCGTCGGCGATCTCCACAACCGCCGCCTGGCGATGCAGACGCGATGAGACCATCTCGGAGGTAGATCCCTTCGGAGAGTGGCCGCTTTCGCCCATCGAGACTAAGCTCGTTGCTGCGCACGACGACCAAGATGTGCCGCAACAGAGTGCGATTTTTGAGGAAGATGACGGGCTATTGTACGACGGTCCGCCTATTTTCAATGAGGTGCCTCCGGTGACAGAGACATATTTTTGCGGCAATATGGGTCCCGTGTGGGACGTCGCAGAAGTTGAGCCTTTGACGGGGATGCCGTCGTTGAAACCCGATGTTTGGAGTATCTTGGCCAACGATGGTTTTTGGGAGCTTAACTGGTGGCCATTTTCCGATTGTCTATCCCGAAGTCTCCCAACAACGGGATGCTTAGTCGTAGTTATGGATTTGAGCGCGGCGAACGATGTGGTACATTTTGTGTTAATTCAACTTTGTGGGTTATGCGTATGAAGGCGTGTACATATGCCTTTGTAGTAGTTCAATCCTTGCCCGAGATTATGTTTACTTTTGGAGTTGTTGGGCGACCTTCAACCTTCGTGTTCGATAGGGGGAAACGTCGGACGATGATTGCCATGGGTACGACTCCGGTGTCAGCACCTTTGGTGCAGCTTCGAGGGCGAAGCCTTCCGAACCGGAGGAGAATGTTGCAGGATAGTTAATATTATTATTACTATTATTATTATTTTAGTATCTAAATATTTAGTAGCTTTCTTGGTGATCAAGTTAGGTTTTAGGATTAGGGGCCTTATATAAAGGACTTCATCTAGTTTATTTTAGGTGGTTGATTTTGAATATGAAATAAGATTAGAGATTGTTAGTCTTGCGTGTTTTACGAGAGAGTATCTCGTCTTTGCG